TTGTTCATCGTTGAACATTGAGACAATATGTTCCTCCGAAATCTTTGTATAATCTGAGAAGTGTTTATATCAACAGAAACATTTTAAATAAAAATAAGCCTCTCTGTTGATATGTCCATATTATTACATTGAATTCTTCATCAAGCTCTCTAACAAATAAGTTTAAGTATAATGCATGTATCAGGAACAAATTCCTAATTCCGTGTTAAATGTCCAGATGATAACCATTTTTCATGACAGTGACTTTATATTGAAACACATTCGAGTTTAAAAATGTCTAATATTTTTCCGGTAAAATGGCACTGTTTAAATAAGTGGGCTCTAGTTATTGACATTATTCTCTGGATAATTACGGACACGTAATCAACCCCGCTGTTACGTGGCTTCAAAAATAAATTATAAAACATGGATGAGAAATTGGAAAATATCTGGAAATCTGCTGTCGTGATCAGCCATACCTAGCAAAACTGAAAAAGAACACAATACAGTAATACATTAAGGTACGTACCTGGTAAGGATTCGAACCGAGTACCTTCCAAATGCAACCAGCAGGGTATGCAGCGTAGTGTTGGAACCGGTAGCTGTTAATGATTTACAGATAAAGGCAACCATCCTGCTTAACATCGGCTGTTACAGCTTCGCATAATATAGCTCTCAAAAGTAAACACAAAATTCAGCACTGAAAAGTACTTTCATAATTCTTTTAATATATTCACACATTTATTTTAAAAAAATCATCATTTAAAAATTACTTTCATAATTATTTTTATATTTCCACATATTTATTTTAAGAAAAGTAATCTAAATCGTGTTGTTCACCCCTGGAAACTTCTAGAATCTAAATACAAATGGCTGCCAATGAAGAAGTATGGTTAAACATGGCTGCAGTTTTACAATAAAGGCACTGAATTTATGTCGCTGTAAATCACAAGTATCAATTATACAATTTATGGTCAGTAATAATTTTAACCCCAAATAGTTTGATAAAATTTGCATAATAATTATATAAACATTACTAAGCATCTTAATTATTAATGCGCAATATAATTCAGATTAGTTTTAATTTTCCCGCCTACCCTCGAAAATTCAAAATGGCTACATCTTCTGAAATAAATTATTAATATTAATTTTATACATCTCCTAAATTTAAATTATATAATTCTGGACTGCATCGTATTTTGTATGACTGCAAAATTCGACAAAAACAATTGTGAAATTACTACGAACTTGTATAAATGCGTAGATTTCATAATACATTGATTTATAATGATTTGCCAAGCTAAAATAATATGAATGTTTACATGTTAGGATGACGTCATAAGATACGATGATATAGTTCCTTGCCAGGCAACAAGTACGTTAAGTCGAGATTATAACCAGAATTTTGGGAATTATTAAAATATTATTATTATTATTATAAATATTATTAAATATTTTTCTCTGTTACAAATAACGCAAATTTAATATCACGCGATCTTGAACGTAGGTTTTGGCGGCAATCCCTGGAGGTGGAGTAATACAGGTAGTTCCGAACTGCAAACTAATGCTGCTAACGTTGCTAAATGTTTATAAGTCGCTTTTAATTCAATTAATTCGAAATAATAAATATTTTCAAATCTTATAGTTAATGCAACTTACAAACTGGATTATACTGTTGTTGTTGTTGTATCACACACATAAGAAATTCCTGCACCAGATCCTGCAGAATTCTCCGGCAAACAAACGCACTTCCTACAGCAACGGGGCACAATGACTCTCTGCAGGGAGCTAAGCGGGAAACCGTGTTGATAAACACATTAATTTGAATTCACCCGCAAGATGTCTCTATTATGATCTCCAGCGGTGAATCGTAAAATTATCGCACTAGTGACAGGCAAGGGTGGGAGTCAAACAACACAACACGAAAAGTCCCCAGATGTCGGCGTTGTCCCAGTCCTTCGGACTTTGAAAATTAATTAATGTAAAATAATTAATGTCCACATTTGAGATCGTTCTGAGTTAAGAACACACACAGATGTACACAATTATTTAACACGTGATTCTTCATGGTCAGCATCACGCCCACAACTTCCACTTTCTAAATCCTTTCAACGTTTACACTGTCGTGCGTGATGCCTCCATGACCTCCATACGCCTTCACGGGCCGGTGCTTAGGCACATAAATGTTCCAAGGATGTACTAAAACAACACAGTTTTGTTAAATGCCGGTCTTCTGTGTTGTGGCTATGTGTGAACTGAGAGGCAGATATCGACGTTTCGGAGAAACATTCCGTCTCCATCATCAGGGCGTTACAACTCAGAAGACCAAAATCGACACTTTCTTCGCTGTAAGAGCTTAAAATCTCATATAGGTATCCGCTCTAAATCTATAATTAAAATAGAAGTTTATTATGGTTTTATTTTCTTTGTTAAGTTTTGTAGCATGCAGTGTTTGGCGTACAATCCGCCGCAATGTCCGGGCGAGTGACGTAATAGCTCATGCAAGGTAAGGCGCGAATCACATCCAGGGTTGCAAGAGCTGTCCCCCTTCCTCCCCATCTAAGATTGTACTACTACTCTAGTAGAGTTAAGTAATGAATGTTAAATATTTATGACTTTCAGGAAAAATTAGTCTGTAAATTAATGAATCCAAGACTTAAAACGAGGAAGCTGATATTATTGTCGGCAGGCAAAGTCAATTTCTGGTCGTAAGTCTTGTAAATGCGTAAGAATTACTGGATGATACTAGTCAAATATTAAATATTAGGGCCTGAAACATAGAAACATAATACATTAATAATATAATGAAGTTTTATGAGACTCTATATAAATGTCTTGGATATTCATCGGCCTGTTTTCATTACATTATCACCTCTTCTAGAAATAACTAACGAATCTACTACTCTAGTCCATTTAGCAAACGTCCTTGTCCTTGCGAAACTACTACTGACACAGTAAACACGAAATATAACACCACAGGCAGCTGGCAAAAGAAAGGTTCGTTGATCCATTCTGACCTTCAAAACGTTAGAATTGTTCCAGACACGTGTATTTTTTTTTAAAGCCAGGTTTAAATAAACATAGAGCGTGAGAAACGTTCCCACGGCGGTGAAATTGTCGATCTTCTTCGCAAAGCCATAAAAAATGGAGGCATTATATTCCTCCGAAACGGTGGTGTATATTTTTAAAAGCCCACACGACTTTATAACCCAAAACACTAACAAGGACAATATGGATTTTGGTGTACGTTTCAGGTCAGAGGATCAGTAGAAAATTTAACTGGGCTTTCAAACTGTAGGGCACAGTAACTTTTTAGAGCAGGGGATAATTACCCTATTTATTCCTCGCTCACTGTATTTTTTTAAAAAAATTCATAACCGCATTCAAAAAAGCTCCACTATGGACCACATCCAGTCCGGACTACTTATCTTCATCAATTGTTGAAACAGTCTTGTTTATTGCACTGGAATATCAGGTGTTCTCGACAAAATTTGGATCATTTGTTAATCGGTGAAAATGGACTAATCCATGTAACTTACACGAGTGAAAAATTCATGCACTCCCATAACAGCTTCTGAAGGAAATGTTTATGCTCCTAAGAATATGTAGTAGGCGATGTGGTATAAAATAATTAGGCTTAATTCAGCAATGCCCAATCAGCAATCTTCAACACATACAGAACTATATGTAGGCCAGTCCCAAAATAATATTTAAGGACAGCCAAGATAAATGCCTACGTTACATAAAACATTACATATGAATTGGAAACGTAGACTTCAAAATAAATTAGCTTTAGAATTAAGTTTCTAATTTGATCCAAATCCACCAGTAGTACCAAAACACTTGGGGCCTAAGTACAATACCGACCAACAGACTGGCATATCTCAGCCAAGTTACGTGTATTAAAATTCCCGGCGGTGCCCGAATTTATAACTTGTGTTGTGCAAGGCCGTGGTCTAGGTAACACGGAGTTTTCCTCCGTGGCATCCCAACAATTACTCCATTCACACACAGAAGAAGGCAATGGCAAACCACTTCTGGATCATCTGCCAAGAACGTATATGAACAGGTCCCAGTCCGAGAAGAGAAAAGGATGGAAGGATCCTGTTCATATGGACCTGTCGTCAGACAGAACACAAAAAAAAAAAAAAAAAAAAAAGTTACAGTAACAAACAAAAGCAACAATAATAATTCAATGGACAAGAATCATTTTTGAAAAGCTGTCAGTCTTCATTTCTTTCTGTTTCTTTCTTCATTGTATCTTGGATTCTCTCTTTATTTGCTTGAGATTTTCCATTCAAAGTCATATAACCTATCAAAACAGATATTATATAATCCCCATACAATCTGCGGAAAACCACGACAAGCCTCTCAGTAGCTTATAATTTGTCTTTGTATAAAATACTTTACTTACATGGCTTCGTACTGGACGACAGGTGTTCGATCCCCGAGGGGTAAAGAGGATTTTTCCTCTAGCCTCTGCGTCCAGACCGGCTCTGGGGCCCACCCAGCCTCCTCTACAATGGGTACCGGGATCCTTTCCCGGGGGTAAAGCCGGCCGGGGCGTGATGCTGACCACTCACCCCCATCTAGTGCCGAGGTCAAGGAAGAGAGGAGCTATACCTCCACTCCCTCCAAATGCCTACGTGGCGTATAGTAGGGCAGCTTTCTTATATGGCGGTTGTAAGAAACAGCGGCTACGAAATTGTGACTGGAGCGTGAACAGCCTGAGTAAAACCAGGGAGGTGAAAATCAGTGCTATTTGTAAGGACACTACAGTGGCGTGTCTCAGTTGAACTTCACTTCTCAAAAGATCTTCTGGTCTCCCTGGGGATGTAGGGCCTGACCACTGTCAGTGGGTTGACGGCTTTATTCTCGGAGCTAATCCTCTACACAAGATAAACTCTTAGAACAAATGGTATTTACAGGTTGGATATCAAAAACAGAATAATCATAAAATTACATAATTATAATTACACAGAAAAATTATCAGCATGTTCACAGTTTCCATATTTTATAAAACGGTGAACACAAATATTTTCTTGCAGGTAAAGGCTTTAAAACTTAATGCAGAAGCAGAATCAATATCGAATTTTAAAACGACGCACATGGACATCGACGAGGAGTCATTTTTTAATAGGATGGGGCAGTCGGGTCCATGCAAAATACGAGATCAAAACCGAATATGGCGTGGGTAAACACACGCGTGTTGTTTAAGGATAAGATAGGATACGGGTCAGGATAAATATTCGTGCACTTACAATTAAGAAACGGTTGGATCCTATGGATGTTTTATCTGCACTGCGTTTATATTTTGTTCTAGAATATTAAATCGGACAGAGTTGGATTTGATTGACCTAAATCATGTGCTGATTCTGATTTTATGGGTTTTAATACAAACGCCTTAAATGTCGCAAAGGTTCGTACACAAGCCAGCAAGTCTTTCATAAATTACATAAGCTGGGACAATTAATATTAAATTAAGAAAGAAAAATTTTAAGATATGTAGTTGATTAGCAGGTTAAACAAGCTAGGAAATATATGCACAGTTTAACAATATCTGCGCGTTTTGTTCTGATATTGTATAAAACGTGTGTTTTTATTTATTTTTTTTACAATCTTTGTTCGAAAGATTTTTCACTAAGGAATTTTTTTTTCTAGTTTAGAGGTTTTCGATTTGGTATTTACGGACGGATAGACATGATGGAGGTATCAGGGGAATTTTTAGAACCTTGGATCGGAACTTGGGGTAGAAGTGTCACAAAGTATGTACGCTTACCAACTTCGGAGGGATTACAGTTTCTGTAAAACCAAGAGATAAAAGATCTGCACACAAAACAGACAGACGCATGGTAAGAAATCATAGCAACCGAAGAGATGCGGTGGATTGTATTGCCGACCTGAAGACTGGCAATCACACGCGATTCGCTGCGGAGGAGTCTCTGACAACCTGGAAACAAGGGTGGCAATCACACGCGATTCGCTGCGGAGGGACTCTGACAACCTGGAAACAAGGGCAAATGCCCGCATCTGTAAACACCCTTCTACACTCCAACTGATTTCAGCACTGGCGCCAGATCGGGGTCTCGAATACCCTTCCTCCCGACTTACGCTCCACTGGGTCTCACTGCTCTGCGTGATGCAATCAATGCTCGCGGATCCTGATTGGTTTAGGGTGGAGGACTGCATCTGTCGGCTTCTATCCCTCTCGTCAGCAAACTACCCTTATTTGCCTTGCTCAGTTCACCCTACTGTGCCGTCGAGACGTACCGCTGGAAAGAGAAGTTGTCTTAGCAAAAACACCACTAGTTTAAAACATACAAATTGAGAAATATTGAAGAAATGTAAGGAACATGAAATACTTTACAGTAATCGGAATGTGTAATGAAATTTTCGCTACCTTCAGCTTATCTGTAAAACTTTTGGGTAGTTCTCTTTATACACGGTCGCGTAATCACAGAACTTCATGACAGAATTCTTTGTCTTCGTATTCCGGAAATACCTATGCAGATGGCGGCTAACCTAAACGAAGGTTTTCGGTGTTTTCCTCAGGCTATACACGCAAGCGCAGTCCACATCCTAATCCTTTCGAATTCGTCATTCGTCTAATATACCATGAGGATTTTAATCAATTTTTATAAAATAATTTAGATTCTATGTCGAAGAGCGCTGTTTTGGGCTCCGTCTTAAACACTGGAGACAAAATTAACACTCTCCCTAAACATCGTCCTGTAGAGGTACCAGGTTCGATTCTGACAGAATCCGACTATCCCGAATGCAATTTTTATGAGACACAGAAAATACAGGAGCCAAACCACAAAAGAAACAAATGTTTTGTGTCACGCTGAGTCACATATTTTTCACACAACCCCAACAGCTGTTTTTAGAAACAATTTGTTGAATGAGGCATTTGTAAAATGCTGAACATGTGATTTCTCATTTGTTGTTATTCTGGTAGGAAGTGCGACCCAGGACACGCCACATCAACCCCCAACACTGGGCAGGGGTAGCAAGCAAGTGTCAACACGTCTGCCTCACGTGTGCCCATCCCTCATCCCCAATCTGGGTGTCACAAAATAAATTGCATTTGGCGCGGATTTAAAAATCACCCTCGCTGCACCCCCCAACCCGTCGTCTGTTCGTCTCAACACGTTCTTCTTCCCTCGTCTTGGGTCTTTCTTATTTTATTTTCTTTTGATTCGTGTTTTATTTGCTCTTTGTGTGTGTGTTCGTTACATGGGCCAACGTTTTGCAGAATGAACACTCTCAGCGGTGGTTCCAATTCGCCTTTATAAGACAGAAGCATACACCCACCAACCAAAATCAAATCTCCTTAAAAATTTAAAGCCAAGAAATACCACACGTAGAACCTATAAGAAAACATTGACGTATATTCCTAATAATTATTTTTATCTGCATCGTCTGAGAATGACAATGTAATTTACATTTATGTAAATTCTTAATTACTTTACATTAAATATTATATTACTAACACCAATAATACCAAAGTCTGTCACTGGACAGGATCCTGAGCCAGTTCTATCCACCTGCCATCCTCACAACATCTCATTCTAACATCTATCTTAATATTATCCTCTCTTTAGCCTTTTGTGGATGGAAAAGGTTAATTAATGTGAATACAAGAGCTCGCCATGGACTCTGTTCTGAGCCAGTTGAATCCAGTGCACATGCAAACATTGAGTCAAGATATTTCACGGATGTACTACGCTGAGTTATGAAGAAGGAATCTTTGTATTTTTGTGCAAGCCGATCAACAAACTGCTACAGACTCCGAAATACGAAATGGGAAGTAAATTGAATGAGTTCTCATAATCCGAGCCAAACGAATCGACGCTTCTCTACGGCGTGTAGATGATGAGCTGTGCTGGAATCCTGACACGTGCTGGGTCGAGTGAGGATGACAGCGGCTGGCTAATCGCCCGTGCATATGGGAAACCGCGCGCGTCGGATTTTCAATTAGAAAAGCAGCAGGTAAATTGTTTGTTTAAAAAACGTCCGCTGGTGTAATGAACACACCGCGTCTTACCGCACCGGTAAATTGTTCGCATTAAGCGGAGAAATTGCGATGAAATTGCATTATGACTTTAACCGCGGGGGGTGGGGGGGGGGCGCTAATATGTTTCCGATCGCTGGCTGATCAGATCGGCAGGTGGAGGTGTGAGGCCTTGCTTGTTTCACATAAGCAGTACGTTCTTTACAGTCGCAAAAACCATTACTTAGAAACAAAGGCGGATGGAAAAGTCAAAGGGTTGATGTTGGTACCATGACTGCTCGTCTGAGGAAGCTGATAGTTACTCATCTGGTTAAGAAGGTAAATTTTCGCATCTGCTATAGATCTCGAAGTTTCGAGAATTTCGTCAAATGCCGGATCATTTTTTTTTAAAAAGTTTAACGAGGCACTGTGCAAATATCGTCTGAGGGCAAACGTGGAAGCAGCGAAATTATTATTTTATATGAGATTAGTTTACAAATACAACTAGATTACCGACGTTACAACGTGGCATCCATCTGTAACCTACTAAAGCAACGACACGTCACTGAATCTTTACATTGCCGATAGGTTCCGAGCCAGAAAGGTAACTTATTTCTGCTACAAAAGACTTTATTCTGTAATAGGAATGTTGAGAATGTATTTTATGACGATTGGCCCTCTGTCGGTAAAGAAAGAAAGCAGAAGAACACAAAGGGCCATTATGATCAGCCTCTTAGAGCAAGTTTACAACTTTGTGAATGAACCAAGTAGCTACAAAGCACTTGAAGTACTGAGGGCGAAGGACCATGTAACTTTTTGTACTACTGGCTCATGAATGAAGCGATCTCAAGTGTTGGTGCCTGGCGACGTCTCTCTCTCTCTCTTGTGTTCAGGGCAACAAAATAATGAATGTTATAACGTCGCCCCAGCTGGACGAAACCATGTTCACACCCCCCTATCCCCGCCACAATCCAACTCTTCATAGAACAAGTGCGAAAATTGTTCTGGAACATTCAGCAAGTGTGACTTGTATAACACCCTACAGAGTGTTTTCCCAGGGATGAATGGGGCCTCATAGAGCACCCTTGAGAATCAACATGTGTATCAGTAGCCTAAAAACTACTCGTTGCATACAAGAACAGTAATTACCCTTCAGGAAACTCTCTCAAGATTAGGACTAATAAACAAATTGAAAAAGCATTGTATTCCACGGTTAACAAGTGTGGAATTTCAAGAAGAAACTAACAACAGTTATCGGCGATGAAAATCGATTTGTGGAGACAATTAGCAAGGGAAGACAATGCTCCGGACTATCAGTAAAATCACAGGAAAAAAAAAAGGGTTTTTACAAATTATATTTTGAGTGACACAAAATCAACCCATATGACCAAATATTAAACTCGGGTTAAAACTGTTATTATATACATCTAATACTAAATTTAGTCAAAATTCGTTCAGTACTTTTTTGGAACTGAAACAAGCGGAGAGGACTCGTCATTATGAATTCCCATAAACGCATATACAAAAAAATATGATTCTTGTATTTAGGTTTTCACGACTGGAAATGAACGTACAACTTCGGCTTTTGGGAATGAGTCTCGACACATGTCGAAAATTATCCATCGTTTCGGCAAACAGTTCAGGTGCCATCTTCAGGGAGTATTTTAATCGAGCAAAGAACTTCGTCAAAAGTTTTAGCCTAATTATAACGCCGGCAGTCCGGCCTGTGGACACACTTCCCGATGACCTCGATAATCGGCCCCGTCTGTCGGCATTTTACAGTGAGAATTGGACACCCCTTCTGTCCATCTTTGGCAAATGTCTGAAAGAAACCCCTCGTTTACACTTTGAATAATGACTTGTATGCTCTAGCTATAGCAGAGTGATCAGTGTAAGCATTTCTTAGGCATTTTGCTTCCTTGTAATGACACAAAAGGTCAATGGAGGGTGCGAACGAAGCATCGGACGTGCTGTACAGTCTGATGTTGCAAAAGATGGTTTTCTGTCTTGTGACGACTTTCCGCGAGTCACAGGGAAACATTATTACACTTTGTTTATTTTCACGAAATAAAACATCACATGAGTAAATTAATTAAAGTTCTGACTTATACAATTCTTCCAATGGCACCGGTACAAAAACGAGTTTAAACACCCCTAATTTTGAGGTGAGCGAGTGCCCCTGAAGCTCCTTTTGTGGGGAGATTGGCCTGAGGCACACAAAACATTTGTCACCATAAAATGAAGACAACAAACGATGACTGATTCTGAAGAACCACGCCCTCTTCCTCAGACTTGGTATTGAATTTCAACTTGCACCACTCCACAAAGCAAAGCGCCAAAGACGATTTATGTGGCCCCCCACACCTGAGCAAAATAAAAGCTTCCGAGTATCCACTGGCGACAAAAGTTTCACATTTGTGAACTAGGATACTCGTTAGTAAGTTTAAAGGTTTCTATAGGTTCTCACGGTAGGACGTTGCTCCGTGCAGTCTGGTACATTTGCCGAAGTTTCAGAACACTCGTCGTCCTGATGATGGAGGCATAAATCACCTCTGAAACGTCGGTCATCTTTTCTTGTACCGAAAGTTTCTACGGCCTGGCGAGTAGTGACAGTTAAGAATCGCAAATTATGCGGTTTAAAATAATAAAACGGAAATAAGCAAATACTGTTTCAAGATAAAGGCATCATAATTATTATTTACGGTGACAATTCACTGTTTCATTCTGCCTGCACAGCTAATTTTGTACCGTGCAATATTCAGCGGATTACAAATACAACCTGCACCAAGTAATTTAGGCGACATTTTAACCACGTGACGTAATTTGTTTGAGAGACAACACGAACATAAACCAGTTAACAGCCGTGTTTATGAAAATGATGGAAGAGTTAACTAACTGTCCGAAATAAACAAACAACCGAGACGGAACATGGCTGCTATTGTCTGCGTCAGAATGTGTTGGGAGGATACCTTTATAAACGAAGTTCTCACTTCATAAATCCCACACCATGTGACGATAGTATCGATACTCGAACTGTCCACGCTTAATTTCACTGACATGGCAATAAAACGTACGTAACAGTAATCAGTGATGCATTCAAATTGTAGCATAACAAGATACATCATGACCGTGGGGGGTGGGGGGGGTGACAGTTTGTCTCTCGTTACCGGAGAAGTCAAGTTTCCAGACGCCAGTTCATCGCCTCATCCATCAGAACCAACCGACGAACCCAGTTCTCGGATTTAAAACATCCTTACAAACACGCCTCCAAAACATTCAGGCAACATGCCGACATATTTATCTACCTTTTGAAGCATTTGTGAGATGAAATCAAGGGATGAGATGGGCGGACATGTAGCACGGATGGGGTTGATGAGAAATAAATATGCTAAAATTTTAGACGGAAAAGAAGAAAGGTAGAACGTACTTGGAGAGACATCTGCATTAGTCTCGAAGAAACACATTGTGAACTCAGGGTTTTGACTGGATTCAGGTGGCTGAGGATGAAGTCCATTAGCTGGTTCGTATGAAAACGGTGAAAAAGGTTCTAGTTCCATAAAATTATAATTTGTAAATTTCTTTATTGGCTGGGTGACTATTAGATTCAAAACCTATTCTACTCTATGCAGTTAGTTGAATAAAATTTTTCTCAGCGTGGTTTTTTTTGATTCACAGTACAGTTAAGGACCAAAAAAACATTCATAAGTAAAATTTGTAAATTTGATTAAGTGAACATGCCAACCGCCAAATTAATTCTATGGTTTACTTAACGATGAGATCAGCAGATGAGTCTATACAGCGTTAAATATCAGCGTCGTCAGCGAACAGCACAGGACATGAAATCAGTGATCGCTTACTAATTTCCACAAACTAATTAAAAATGCATACCCAAATTGAGGCATGACATTCCTATTACGCTTGCACTTAATACATAAACATACCTTCTGTTAACTGCATAGAAAATGTGGGGGGGGGGGGGGGGGGGGGTTCTGCGGCGAAGAGAGGACAAAACTAAAGGAATTTTTGAGAGGATTTGAACCTCGACAGAGACAGACAGTACAAAGGGCTCTTGTGCTCTTTTGAACAGTTAATAACACTGGATAACTATGGCAGGTGAGGGCCTGCTCAAAGAGAAACTCCTTCTGTTTCGTTTCTCCGCATGAAAAGAGAACGCACGGGCCAGCCTATCGCTTTTAACAGTCGCTATCCGCGATGGCTGCAAGCAAACTCCATCCAAACAGCTTCTTTATGAGCCCCGAGCCGCTGTCTCCGGCCGCATCTCCACTTCAATCTCCACAGGTTCCTGATGTGATGCGTGTCAACTCGGACAAGCCGACAAGAACTCACTTCTACTCAGTCACATGGTCCGCGTGTGGACCGCTTACGTATCCAGAACTGTGTTACGTTCGGCCCTTACATAGGCCCGTCTCATCCCCCTTAATTGGTTCACCATAATATCATCGGGGGAACAGGACAAATGACCGAAATTATCGGTTAAGTGGTTAGCATCCTTGCTTCGCCGCAAGTCCGGACGTTAAACCGGAGATCGGCTATCAGCACTGAGGTTTTCACCAGAACCTACAGATAAATGACGGCATAGTGCACTAAATTGGCCACGACCTCTTCCTCCCATATAATTTCCAATCAATTACCAATCACAGAATCATTCTGCGCTGTAGGATATAGTTACGGCTGCCCTAAACGTCGTTAAATAAACAACTACAGCTGGTTTATTTCTGTCTCTTCCATACATACATTGAATTTAAGTAAAAGTTTACGAGCAGAGAAAATTATTAAAGTAATGTTCAAGTAGGTTGTGGTATCTGTAAACCTTCAGACACGCTGTTCAAGTAAGCAAATGGACGTTTTGCTTGGCGATCCGGTCTGATTGGCAATGTTCAATGCTGTTGAGGAAGGCACCGCAAGATGGATCACCGCGTCTTATCGTATAGTTGGGTGGTCTGAGTTCCACCTGGTGACATCTGTCATCGGCCGGAGACACATCGGCACACACCCGGGCGATCAGTATCAATTGTTCATCGTACCCAGCCAGGGAAGGCGAGCCTTAATTTGTGCTTAAATGAAGGCACAGACAGATGATTTCCGACGCACAAGAGTAAAACAAAGCGAATTAGAAGCAGATCAACTCTGGAGGCCGGGTTCGATTCCATTCCACAACGTCTGACAGCAAGGACATTGGAAGATCTCGATGCGAAAAGGGGACAAGTGTCCTTTTATATTTTTTATCGGATGGCGTGGCAAAAACTGTTTTAAGTATTGACTAATGCATGGAGGTCAACTGTTAATTAATTTATTTTTATTACATTGAAAAGCACACGGATTTATCTGTCTCATGAATAAACGCTGTGGTTGATAAAGAAAAGTAAAAAATGTGAACAGTTTTGAAAAGACTATTTGAAATTCAAAATCGGCTGTGAACAAAAATAGAATCCCGCAACTGAATACGAGCTGAAGCATCTCTGTCTACGTTGCATCCTCATGTTCTATGTGCCCAAGATAAATGATCATTAATGTTATCCCGTCGTCATCTTCTTGGTTTCACAACTCGCTATTTTCCAAAAGGCTTCCCTATGAGAACTGCTTTCCATACCTGTCTCGATCAGATGCAGGGAGTAGGCTACCCGCGGTTATGCTAAATAAACACTTTCAAATGTCTTCGTACGAGTTAGGCCTGTGTTGCTCCGTGATCTTACTCTCATAAATGGAGGCTTAATTCTGATTTCTTACTCTCATTTCCAAGTACTTAAAAATCTGCAACATTTTCGAAAGATTTCTTATGATTTATCCTAACTCGAAGGCTAGACACAAACTTATCACATACCATGGATACGTCCGGCTTTAAACAGAAGAGTAGTCACGACAGTAATCTGAAGATATGCAAACAAGGAAATGTTCAGCTTTCACTGAACAAAATCTGAAGTTTCTCACGGAGAGAGTTTGTCGATGTTAGACTTCTGTGCTCTCGTCCCTCCATCTTGAGCCTTGAAGATGGATGCAGTATGTTCCCTCGAAACGTTGGTTTCTATTCAAGTTCACATGACCTTGACACCAAAAACACCGACTTCATATTTGTTCTTGTTGAAGAACTGCGTTACACTTCAGATGCCATCTTAGCTCAAAGAACCTGTAACAGGAAGAAATAAAGTAATTAAGCTACTGTTGAAAGGAAGGCTTGATTTTCTTAATTTCCATTGCTCAAAGCCGCAAGAAGCCCTCAGTCAGCTACCGTCTGCAGCATAACTGAAAGAAATCGGCTTGCTCAAAAGAAAGTGGCGTGTATATACACTTCTTACTAATGTGACTGGCCACAGGAGATGAAAAATGACTAGAAGCCCACACCGGCACATAATTCTGTCCCACGCAGGCGCACGAGGGGTAAACTAATGTTGGCGGTGTAAGGCTCGAGGGCCCATCCACCTCAAACACACGTATAAAGACCCCCCTCAAGTTTTACAAGACACGAGTGCTCGTCCACACACTCCTAAAACTGCCTGCAACTATCACAGTGGTGCAAAGTCCTTATGATGATACTGACAGCCGCACAGCTAATCAAAGATCTTATGATTCTTAAACGTGAATGTCCAGTCAGCACATCGGGATCTGTTATTTCACAAATATTTCTCCTAATTCATCCGGTGAAGTAAATAAATTCTAGCTGTGGCTTCCTTTTAAAAAAAAGTAAAAAAGTTAGCATAGTCATAGAACTAGGAACGATGTTTCCTCAAGCTAAAAGCAATTAAAAGTTAAGTTACAAGTATCAGAAACAATTTCCTTTAAGTGTGATAAGACAGAGGAATTGGTCAGCCCTGAACATGAATGTAATAATTGTATTCAGTAGCTTGAATGACGGTGCACGATACATTGAGTAGCAATTGCCGCCCCTAGGGAGCGGGCGGGTAGTTCACAGGTAGCGTATCTGCTTCTGTCCACGGGCTCAGTTGTTAGCTTACTGCCAGGGTTGCTAACATGCGCCCCCTCGCCCCCACACACAGAAACGAATTTACGTATCGGTAATGAAAGGTAGACATGCGAGTCCAGATATATGATTAATATAGAAAATTCCACTTCAAACATTTTTCGACACAGAAAATATTTAACGAAATAGAATGAAAATAATTTGGCTTAATTCATAGACATCTAACGTGAGATTAGTTTTAGCCAACTTCGTGGAGCAGAGTCCTTATTAACAAGTTGACAGAACGCTCAGTTACTCAAAATATCCCCCACCATTTATGCAACCCGAACGTTCGCCGTCATAATAAGAATATGCCACAAATTTATCACCGTGTCAATTGGATTGAGTTCGCATATTCACACCGTGTTTCTCTACGTTCCATATTAATATTATTTTTCCATCTACACTTAGGTCTTCAAGATTATTTCTCACCTTCACGTTCTTGACTGAAAATTAATAAGCATTTCCGACCTCATTCTCCTTGATTAGATCACAGTAAAAATATCTGATGAATTCAATTATGAAGTTCCTAATTACGAAATTTTCTCCGTCTGTCATAGGTGCAGATATTCCCAAAAAAATGCTTTCTTTTGAATATAAAGTCACGTTAGCATCTTCCTAAATCAACGTTGGAACACCTCCCATTGTCGGTTATCAGCGGCGCATAGTTGCTATAAACTTCGTCATCTGAAACCCCTTGAAAAATTTACTTTGCAGTGAGTGATAAAGAATGTACAGACTCACAGATGTGACTTGTGAAAAGATAAACGTGTTCTTATCACGGACAAGCGTTCAAGAATTACCGCGGGTCGATGTTTTCTGAAATGTCGCTGTGTGTTCTATGGGAACGCGCCCATTTCTTAGCCCGAGGCCCAGCTTTGTAGCGACTTGCCGACCGTCTGCGTGTGTACTGGAATTAATTAAAGCTCGTTTCTCCGGTCCCGAACTAATTTCAATGATATCAGCACCAGGGTTCGTCTCTGTTGTGTAAGAATGCCATTCATCAACACCATTAACTCATCAGGTTTTTCCTTCCGACAATAAAATCAAGGAAGCAGTGAGAACGCGATCATGTAGCAGATGAGGTGCTTCAAACTCGGCGACTGATACCACCGTTTGATTCCCAGGCCCGACATTCTTTATCCAGTCGCATCATCAATGTCTGCGACCACTATCATGGGATTCCTCAGAGAGTCGAGCGCCCTACAATTACACAATACGTAGGCTATGAATTTAATAGTACTTTATAATTATTTTTTATTATTTATTATTAATGTTAAATTATTACGCATTCAGCTTCCAGAACAGATCTCAAAATCCAGTTGATCGAAAACACGCGAGAAAGAAGACGAGACACTGGTAGACCTCGTAACCATGGGAATGAACCAGAAACTTCAGCAATTTTTCTCTTCGCTAACGTCCAGATCGACTCTGGGGCCCCAACCAGCTTTCAATACAAAGAAACCGGGGGTTTCCCCAGGGATGAGACAGGTCCAACATTACGTGGACCACCCACCTGCATCTTGTGTCCACTGGAAAGAAACGAAAGTTCCTGCATTTAAATAGTCCACGACCATTTTCTCCATCCTTCTTCGTACATGTCCTGTACCTTACAGCATCGTATAAGAGTATTCTAAACTCGAATACTTGATACACCATCGTCAAAGAACCATTACACACTTACAGTGGTTGTGGCACAATGCAGTGAAGTAATTTACCGCGCGCAAAAGTGACATATGACGACTTAGCGAACTTTACGTTTTTGCTACTTATAACAAAAATCATGACTCGTGCTCGGTTGGTAGACCTGGTAAAAGCTGTAAATGTAAGGATTACATTGACACACGTCACGTCCTTAATCCGAAAGCGTCACACTTCGTGGTTCTGCCGAAAAATGCGGTTGGTAACAGAAGTTAGACAAACGCGTACCTCAAATCTCATTTAAAATTAAGCTACCTTTAAATGTCACGGGCCATTTTACAATGATGTTTCAGCTACACTGGTTAGCTATGTACAATGCCTTCCAGCGTTTTTGGCCGCTGAACTTTGTGAACTGGAACCTCAGAGCGAATCACTTACCAGAAGTCTGCTGGAAAGGATGACAGCAGGCCGCGTACAGTACACTCCAAATAAAATATCACCACGGCATGTAACACAGGAACGTCGATTTCACTAAACTACACATCACTAGAAAATTAACACTGCAGAGAATATTTGATAATTTCATCTTCCAATTCTTCCAATCCTCACAGACCATCGCTTTCTGAAATACCACTCGATTCATCACTGTCCACTCCAATGTCTTCAATTTTATATATATATTACGTATATTAGTGACAAAGCGTGATTAGCCGTGACCTCCTTTGAAAGAGTGACGAGAAGTCACCATAAGTGATAAAATACGATGAAAATTTGAAGTGTGTCTCAGCGTGACAAAGCGTGACGTACTGTAACGGCGTGATGAATTGTGGGCATAAGTGTCAAAACGTGACAAAGATTTTCAACACGTTACCTAATCTAACAAACTAACCTAACCTAACCCAACGAACAGGTGCCATGTTGTCACAAGACAACAATTATCAGGCTTCTACACCGCTGCACAGACACAGACTGTACTGACCGACGGAAACTCCTTCCTTCCTTCATTGAGTGGTCCGCATACTGGGCACTTCCTACAAGGTCAGCGGCCATGATCGGTGGATGCATTTCTATCGTCAAATGACACGGAAGTTGTGATTTATTAACTGGAAAGGATTTGGAAGGAAGCTGCCCTGATCTTACCTTATCTCCTCTGTGGGGGTGGGTTTGTTCCGTTCAAAACCGTGTTAGAGCCGGCTGTGGGGCCCATCCGGCCCCTAGTTAAAGGACAAAGGATGTTAAAATGGACGAAGCCTGAAACTGGCTTACTGCTACATGCTGTCGAGGTTAAGAATTTGTAGGGTTCTTATTCGCTTTTCATGGAGCGGCGTTTGTGTTTTCTTGTATTTGAAGGGCAAAGTTCATAATTCTCAGCAGATATGGCGTTACGCGCGTCTTAGAGTGAGGTATTTACATTTTCTGGTGGAGCCGGACCTCCCAGTGTGTGTAGGAACCAAATGAGAAACAGACTTCTGGCTGTTGGTCAGCGTGAGTTGCTGACGTCAGCTCCGGCCACAGTAATCCTCTGTGTTGAGTTCCCAGAACTTGCAACGTAATGAGGTTCAGATGGACGAGTCTCTGACCCAGTGGGCGGGCTGGACCAAGGAAGCAGCTGACAGATCGTTACACAAATTCATTTCGATCTTCTATCCGAAAACGTGAACATTAAAACGGACTATCATTTTGCTTATTTCGTGGTGAACGGGTTTCGAAATTTGTCTGTCTCCCAAATGAAACAACATAGTTCGAAGGCGTCTGAGAACACGGCTCTGAGGAGATAATTTAAATTTAATTGCGATAATGTGATCTGCAAAATGACGAGCTTAATAGTTTGTACTATTCACCAAATATTATTAGGACGATCAATTCAAGGAGGATAAGATGGGCGCTACGTGTAACACGCATGAGGACGATACATGTATAATATTAAAAACATGTTGAAGCAATGCTACGTCTCTCACCATTAACAAGTACTGAGGATGGGATAAAAAATTATTGAATAAATAAATTATAATTTGTAAATAGTATAGCGGCCTCAGATTCACTGTTTTAATACAAACAGAACTGTCAGCGGTATTCTAATGGACACAGGTTTCTTCAGGCTTCGTTCGCAGAGAACAAGCAGTTGTTTGATTTAAAATCAGCCAGAGTCAATTTTATCTGCTTTGAATTTCGCATCTAGTGTCAGTTTGGTTGGAGAGGCGTGGCCCCTTATTTGTCAAACTGCCTACACCGAGGAGTAAAGGAAGACGTTCCCAACACACGTCGGTGCTGTGGATCAGCGTATCAAATCTACGGGGTCTGAAGTGGCTCGCTCGAAATGTGCGTACTGCCGTTCCTTTGCCGCGTCGTCTGTCAGGTGTCCAAGGGGAAACGTTAATGTAGAAGGCAGAGATACTTCTGTTCCTAATTGGGCACTACGCCATGAAGGCGTGAGAGGAATGGAGGAGTAGCTCCACGCATACCTAATTTTCCCAGTGTATAAAGGTCGGTGGTTAAGTTCAAAGCGTAAAACGCACACTAACTTCTAG